TAAAAATATTTTTGTTATTAACATGATACTTTGTGGTTATTTTTTTTTCAGTGAGTATAAACAGTCAGACTTCTGGAAAATGCGAGAATCATTCCATTATCATGATTAAGGTACCCGCCGGTAGTAGCAGATGTCTGGGATATTAAACTTAACATTCAACTTGTCCAGGAAGCATGGATAATGTAGACTGAATATATATACAATCATTGATTGATACCGAAAAATTGATATCATGTATTTTAAAGATCGATCTATACAAATTTTAAATAAAGTTGTGAATTAGCTGTAGTGAATTCTTTTTTCCCAAACTTTGCCATTTTCATATTAATATTGACAGCTTTCTTCTTTGCCATGTCCAGACAGAACTCTGACTTTTAATGAGCATATTTGATTAAGATCACTATTTTTATAAATCTTTTAAAAGTAATAAATTGTAAAGAATTTATAAATTTTCATTATTTTTTTCCTAACTTAGATTTTGAAAGCATTTTATCAGAAAGACTGTATCGGCCATTTTCAATATTGGTGGCCATATTGGATAATTTGCTGCCATCTTGGATTTTTTTACCCGGCATGGAAACAGAAAATTAGGGCTTGCATAGACCTTTCCGAAAATATATAGTTTGCCATACTTCCAAATAAAATTAGACCTGTTACTTAAAAAACTACCTAGATTTAACGGATTTTTCTTCCTTTCATGTGGCATCAATAGGTACTCTTTAATAGTTAAATTTTCTTACATAAAATAGCAGTATTCACAACATTGATAAGTTCATAACTTATTTTTTCACCAAGTAAAGTGTTTTTATATTTCTGAATGTGTCCATTATTGTGCTAGAATATATTTATTTGAATATATCTCATCGAAAATTTATACCTGAACCCCCTAATCATGGTCTACAGTATCGAACCCTGGGCTGAGATCGATTGCTAAAAGAACTGTAACATTTTGTTTCTCCATAGCGTCAAGCAGTTTATTTATAAGTCTTAAAAGAGCAGATTTACAAGAATTGAAACGTCTGTATGTTGACTAATTTTTGGGAGCAGACTGTTGTCATTGTTTCATTGTTTTCATTTACATGCGCGTGGAGTCTAAGCAGAGCAGAGTTGCTAGTTAAAGCCAAGACAACAGTTTATAAACAAATCACTGATTGCAGTCAGTGAAAATTATCGAGAGAGACGTTAAACAATGAACAATCAATCAATCAATCTGATCGCAGTAAACTTTTCGATATTGCGTCATATTGGTTAAAAAATGACGTATTTCATGTTCACTGAAAGGGATATTAAGTATGTTTTTTAAAGTTAAAAATGCGTTTTCATATTAAAACAGAATATCGTTCACATATTTTAGATAGGCTATTAAAACCTATGTAAAAACTTAGTTTAGTGCGATTTTTCAATGATTAGTGGAAGAATGTATGGAATTAATCTTACCGTGTTTATGTTTAACATCTAGATGGCGTATTCAGTCGCCTTACCGAAAGGGCATACACTTTATAGATGTTAGCCAGTTTTTAAATATAAATAAAAGATGTTTTCCTGAACTTGAACAGTGCTGCTGCTTTCTTAAAACCGAACGTGGGACTATAAAAGGACATAAAATACTCTGTAAAGGTCAAACATATTTCGAAATGAAGTTAGTTACGTGAAATTTTAACTAATAAAATGCGAATTCTAGTTAAAACAACAAGTCTTTCTAGATAGTACAAAGTATGCAGAAACAAATAACGTATTTTTCTCATTTCAACTAGGGTATGCCCTTCCGATTTTGAAATTTGTTTTTGACCTCCATTCAGTACACATAATATGCATTGTCCGTGACTGTCAATTGATGGAACCAAACTTAATTCAGTACAATGGGGTATAGTTTGTTATTTAAATAAGTATTTAATTTATGTAATAATACAACATCTTTATGAAAATAAATTCAGGATTAAAAAAACCTTTTTTTGCATGTCTACATTCCATTGATTTCTTCATAGTAAGCCTTAAAAGTGCTGAGAAGTCAGAAAGACAACAATAAAATTCCAAAGAACGTTCAGAAAATCTAAAATTGACATTTTTTTCTAACGTTTGTATCATCAAAAGGCATGAGTTATCTACACTTTATGCCACTATTCCTCACGATAAAGTTCTTAGGATATATTCCTTTGAAGCAAATTTTTATTCAAAACACTATATAAAAGCGGACAAAAAAACATCCGTTGTGGGCTTTAACGTTTAATCATTTAACGGTAATTCTGTCGATATGTTGACTGGACTTATCCCAGTGAACTTGAAATGAGATGTAAAGGTAATAGAAAATGTGTCACTTAACACTTTCAAAGAGAGAGAAATAATTCCTCTACACTTACAAACATTAATTAAAAAACTACGTGTAAATAGGAAAACTATGTAGATTGTCGTATCAGAAATATTACAAAATCATGTGAGAAATCTTGATACCTGTTATTAAAAGTCAACTTAAGAATTTTAATCAACTAGAGTTGTATGCATCTATGCATTAATATTTTAAGAAATAAACACCTATGGATTTTTTTCCAAGCTTTGTACCTTATGCATTTGCTTGCAAATTAATTTGTTCCTCTCTGAACTACATGCATGACAACTGTGCAGTTCTGTAGATTTAGCAGCACAGTAAAGGTTACAAATGGAAATATCGGCAATTTTTAAGAAAAAAAAAATACATACTTTATCAGGATGGGCGATTCTTTTTAGGACTTCACTAATATAAAAAATATGTAATGTGGTTTAAATCTACATGTTGGGGACATTTAGAGTTTTTTTATTTAGACTTGTCACGTGATATCGACGTCACATGATTTTAGCAATAATACTTACAGTTTAAATGTCATCTATAAATTTCACTATTGCAATAACATAACTAAGTTAAAAATTCTTGTTTAATTTATGATCCTATTCAACACTATATGTAGTTTTTTAAAAGTGCTGCGAACCTATATAGATTCCCTTTTTTAATTACTAAAACTTGATTGTTGGACGGCAGGTTGAATATTTTGCTGGTCAACTACATTAATAGTAGCTTTAATTATTCTATTTGCACGATTTCATGAGATTCGCAGCACTTTTCAAATACATTAATGGTATGCCCTTGCAATAAATCGATTTATAAGGTCCCTTCTATTACTTTTTTAATGAATCTGCATACAAACACACGACAGGATCACTTGTCTGGAGAATGTACGGATAGTTTATAAATAAAATACTAAAATAGACATTGCATCCAAGTTAATGGAGTTTATTTAATTGAAAGTAATATTTTATTTATTTGAGAACAAAAGACATTTTTCATTGTACACAATGTGACTTGATCAGCCTCTCACTGTGTATAAACTGTGTCGTTTTTGCGAGAAGACGTCACATTGTCAGGTGCATTGCGATAGATGCATCGTTTATATACTGTTGTGTCGGACAAAACTGCATGTAATAGTAAGTTTGTATATAGTATACAGCTATTCATCTGTTTGAACTAGCAAATAATTTCATTTCATGGTATTTTGAAGACCTTATACGAGGGGCATTTCAAAAGTTCTGAGAACTGATTAATAAAAAATTAACCGTTTCAAGGAAATTATTGAGTTTGATATCATTGGACAGATCAGAAAAATATATACATATTGTGACGTCACTTTATAATTTTTATGACGTAATAACTCCGAAAATGACGTCATAATTCCGTATGCTCACGATACTGGCCATAAAAATGACGTAACAAAAGACACAATTTGATCAAATTAAAATTTTAAAAACAACTTTTGCTCATTACTCGGGTGCCAGTTGTCGGTCGCAAATGCCAATTGGTAGAATGTTTACATAGATTACAATCTATCATTTGGTGTTCTATTTTGCCGATCTTCTTGATCTGAAATAGGTTAAGCGATTGTCAAACATCGCATGTTTTTATCGAATCTCGCTCAAAATATTGCGTAAAACAGACCTTACTGTGAGAAAAAAGCAAAGTTGACAATCAAAGAAAAATAGACGATAGTGTTACAAATTTTGATGGCATCTTTTCGTCGGGTGTTTAAACGAGATTTGAGGGACTGATGAAGGCTCAAGAGAAGTTAAGTTTAGTGTGCCCCATATTTTCTCGTAAAATCAAAAATGGCGTTGGCGCAGTTGTAACCCTACCGTACCTCCACATATTCGCAAATTTTAATACATGGGAATTAGATAAGATTTTACATGTCTGTGTAACTTATAAACCTTTTTTTGGAGTCAAAAGTCAAAAGCAGTAGTGGGTTCTTGGGCGCCGAATTTAATTCAATTATAAAAAATACGCAAAGAAACAAGTCAGGGGCAAGACTTTTGAACATTTTATTTGTAAACGGTAAGAGTGCAGTTACTCAAAATATATTTGTTAAAAACTGCATTAATATACTTCAGTTTTATACAGAAAATGTTTAATTTCATACAGTGGGGAGCTTTATAAACGACCGAAAAGCCAGTCGTATCATGTAACTTAAAATCTTAAATGAATGCCGATGATAGCATAACCGGACATAAACCGTGCTAGTAAACAAACCATACAATGAAATATGCAATTCTTGATAAACAGTACCATAGTTCTACTCTACTTCTCTGCAAATAAGAATTTTCTTTGAAATATTTTATCAAATAAGCTTTTGGCAGAACTTTTAAGATTGTCTAATGTGGATAAAAACGCAATTTTTCAGTATGCTAAACATTCAATACTATGACGTCATTTTCGCAGAGATTACGTCATGAAAATTACAAATTGACGTCACAGTATGTGTATATTTTTCTGATCTGTCCAATGATATCAAACACAATTATTTCCGTGAAACGGTTAATTTTTTATTACACAGTTCTCAGGACTTTTGAAATGCCCCTCGTATTATGTGTGACGTCATAGAAAACATTTCCCGTACAAATTAGACCGCGCCTCCTTAATTTAACCTTAAATTTTATTTTCTTTTTAATAAACTAATTATTTTAATAAATATAATACTCACAAGACAGTAGGAATGATGAAATTTAGCAAAAACAATGAAAACCACATCTTCTCAACCTGGTGACTGAACGGCGCAAATATGGATTTCAAGACTGCGCAGTTTCTTATCACAAAAAACACTTCCTTCAAGCAATTGATAAGATTCCAGACGATCAGATCGTGTTATTGATTAAACATATTTACGTTGCTATGCTTGAAAACGAACATGGAAAACCTAAATTTTTGAATAACATTTGAAAAGAATATAGGAGATTTATATTTTATTTGTACCATGGTTTGTTGATCTTGGATTCCTATAACTGAACTGTATGAAATAAATCTGCACATCACATCCGGTAAAGAAAGAAGGATTTTTCCCTGGCATTCTAGTACAATACTTATGATTAAAAGCTACATTACCTGACAACCCTGAATATTGTTAAAAATTTTATTAAAAATGCAAAATTTTGATTTTTTAAGAGAGCTAAAATGCAACTTCCAGCAGTGGAAAGAAATCCATTCAACCGTTAAAGAATTGATTAGGCAAAGTAAAAAATTTCCTAACTTTTTTGGTACATAGTTATAACCCATATATAATTTTCAACCTAAAATTAGGGTGTTGCGTTTCTATTGACGGTGAGTATATAAAAACTTCATCTAGAACATCGGTTTTTATTTGCAGATGGCATTTCTAGACTTCGCAGGTTATCATGCAACATGCACGATATCGCCGACTTTCTTTCTTAAATATACTAGTATAATTTCTTGTTCAGGAAATGGTGCTCAATTCCCTATCTTTTATAATACATTAACTGCTGTAGAGAGATACTTTACAGAGAAATTCTAGAATTAATGTGACGCAGCATAGTTAAGACTTGAAAAGGGCGCGGGGCCGAATTTGAAAAAGGAAATGATTGCTGTGCCACCACACAAAAAACTTTCAATTTTAAATAGGTATCCCTCATAACACCAGGACATTTTAAAAATTCTTTGCAATTTTAAATTGTATTAGCAAAATAAACATCAAAACTTATCAATGCATTAAAAATAGCTGCTTACTAAAACTGAAATTGGTTTATTTGATGAAACGCCTTTTTTAACCTATTTAATTGCGTTGTTCAAAATCTGTATGATAAATATTTACATATAGTATAAACGTGGGCTGTTCGAAAATAATTGAGACATTATGTATATTTTGCTTTCTAATGAACGTGTTTCGGTGAGAATTTGCATAGACGTTTGACATACACTTAGAATTAATAAAAGCAAAAAATATTTTACAAATAATAAATATTTTCTGTACAATGGTACATGTGTATAAATGTCTCATCAGTAGGGGTACTCGGAGCAGTCTCGAAATCAGATATTAAAAATATTTAACACCAACATTCTAACTCTTCGTGGACCCATGATTAGAGCGAAAATAATTCTGTTTATGTGTATAATTTTTCAGGTTTGTTTCTAATTAATGTTGTGCAACTTTGTTAGAATTTTGATCAGGAATACGGAGATCATAAAAAAATTAAGTGCGTAATTCTACTGATATTCTACTGATATATACTTCACAATAAAACACAAAGTTGTTTTTTTTTGGGGGGAGGGGGTCAGAATTTTTCGATAGCGCCCCAATCCCAACGGAAACTGCGTCCCCTGGCCCTAATATGTCACCCTGAGTCTAACTATTTATTTTGTCCATGTAATGCGCAATATTTTAATGTGTGCAGCAAATAGATATATGCATGATGTTCATTAATTGTGAAAGTAATAAACATATTAAACAACATTAAAATAGTTCTGGTTTATTGACAGGAGCTTGACAGTCTCTACGCTGAGCACTTCGGTAGATGCCAGTGGCATCACAAGAACTTAGTCCTTCTGATACCGATGAAGAGGATGATAGACCCGCTGACATTAATGACAGAGCTAGAGAGTATCTGGACAGCCTAAACAGCGAGGAAGAGGGAAGTACATATAGAGGTGATGAAGCGGATTGCCGTGTATTGACTGATGATGAAGACATTTGTAGAATAAGAGATCTACAACGAAAAACATGTGGTTGTAAACACAACTGCATAAATAAATTTCAAGAATCTCAAATATTCTCACATGTGTTCGATGTTCGGGAAATGCAGAAAGATGAGAAGGAATTGTACATAATTGGATTTCTTGTTGATTGTGACAATGATAAAACTAAGAGGAAGAAAACGAGAAAGATCAAGACATGAATTTATTTTTGCTGGAAAGAAAGTTTGCAGAGAAACATTTATGATCGCTTTTGATATTGGAAAACAAGCTTTACAGAACATAAGAGATCACATGAAAAAACATGCACCAACGCCTCGGAAACATGGTAATATTGGGTCCAGCCTGCTCACGTTTTGAAATTTGTAGGCATTAAAGCTGCTCTTCAATTTATACAGAGTCTTGCAAATGAAATAGGTTTGCCCCAGCCAGCAGCTCCTCGAGGACGAGATAGCATACCCCCCCCCCCATATATATCCCTTCTGACGTGACGAAAAAATATGTTCATAGTAAGTATGTTACTAGCTCTGATGTGGGAGAACACCCAATGCGATGCGTCAAGTATTCTACATTTTGCGGGATATGGAACCATTGTTTGCCTCATATCAAAATTGCAAAGCCACGGGATGATGTATGCGCTACTTGTGAAAAGTTCAGAAAACTAATTATAGATTCAGTATCGGAAGAAGAAAAAATAGATTCGACGACCAAGATGCAGAAACATATAACCCATGCCCAAGAAGAGAGAGCTCTTTATAACAATTGTATCAAAGAAGGCTTGAGAACGGTTCTCGACATTTCAGTTTTGATTTCAGTCAGAATGTAAACATACCTCATCATGCTCGTCAGATGGGGACACTATATTTCCTGAGTCTTCGCAAAATTCAAATATTCGGTTTTCGAATAGATGACATCCCAAAGCAATTAAATTTTTTAATTGATGAAAATGAAACAATAGGCTGTGATGGTTCGAATACACATGGACCAGATTCCGTTATTTCAATGATTGACTGGTCATTTTCACAGTACGGAACAGATGACAGAAAAATCACAATTCATGCTGATAATTGCTCAGGTCAAAATAAAAACCAGTTTGTCATTGGATACCTTATGTGGCGTATTATGACAGGACAGCAAGAAGAAATTACGTATATGATGCAAGTTCCGGGACATACGCGCTGTATCATTAATGGCGGATTTGCTTTAATCAAGAAACTTTACACAGAAAAGTGACTGCGATTCCATTGATCAGCTTGAAAGAATTGTAGAGCAGTCCTCAGTTGCAAATTCGGCAGTCCGGTATCCCACGTGGCAGTGGCGAGAATGGAAGGCTTTTCTCTCTGAGTTTTTTAAACCTCTCAAGGGAATACGCAAGTACCACCATTTTTGCTTTAAAAGTACAGAGCCTGGTACTGTGACGGTAAAGGAATCGGTTTCATCAGAAGAAATAAAGGTCAACATATTAAAAGACAGGAACTGTGTATTTAACCAGGATAGACCAGCTTTTTTACAGCCCACCGGTCTCTATGATGCTCGCAAGCAGTACTTGTTAACGAAAGTAAGACCATTTGTACGACCGGCTCAACAAGATATGACCTGTCCGCCGCTTGAATAGTAAAGAACGTACAAATAATGACAAGGAAAATGTTGTGCTTGAATGATAATTACTATTTTACATTATAATTATTTCTATACAATATTTGAAAAATTTCATTTTGCTGTTTTATAATCAAGGTATAATCATTAAAACATGCTATGTTCAAGCAGGTATATCTTTAAAACTATTGCAAATAAAATGCTCAAATTTTCACTGTGTGTCCTAAATTTGTTGTAGATTTGAAATAAACAAAAAAGTCAATTTCAAAAATTTTGTCATTAAGACCCCTTTTCAGAGAGAACAGTCCATATATATATATATATTAGGGATGTCAACGAGTACCCGGTTAACCGGGTACTCGATCGAACGTCCGAGTATCGAATACTAAAATCGGTACTCGGTTACTCGGATGTATATTTTTGAATATTTCTAAGCTTATTTATTAATGCATTAAACAATCTGTTTTAAAACGTAAAATACTCATTGCACTTGTACATACAGTAATTAGGGTTTCCTACTCCTCTAAATGACCGTTATCGCCCGTGGCAGTGTTTATACAGTAATTATCGTGACCAAGCACCTGTTACCTGGCTTTTCTCACCTTCGGCTGTCTTCTACCCTTATTTTTATATTTTCTTTGATTATTTGTTTTCACTGCACATCGTTTAAAGTCTGTTATAATTAAATAAATTAGATAATTTTGTCAATTCTCTGAGATTCTCGGGAAAAGAGACAAGTGATATTACATGCGCGACTGTTGATATGGTTGTGTTTGATTACATGCCAATACAACTGGTTGAAGGCAAAGGATTTAAAAAAAACTGATGTCCATCATTGCATTAAACTGCAAAATACCGTCCCGTTATACTATAAAATCTAGTATATAAAATATACTAAAATCTTAAATCGACTCTGTTAGAACTTGGTCAAGTTCAAATCAAACTGTACGACTGATATATACCTTGACGTCAAATGCTACAAAAAGTTACATTACAATTACGGAGTAGATTATTTTCTTTTAAACAAAAACACCATGAACCACTTACGATTTTATTTCTTGTGTCTATCTGATAAATAAATTGAACTTTAAAAAATGTATTAAATTCCGTCGGGCACGACAGAAATTTACGTGTAAACCTCCTATCAGAGCATGTGGTTTTATTTGTACAGGTATTTACAATGGTTAACATTCAGCAATTTACTTGTTCATATTTATTTACACTTTTACCGAGTACCCGGGTACTCGATCGGAAAAACGTCCGAGTAACCGAATACTAAAAATTGACCGATTTAACATCCCTAATATATATATATATATATATATATATATATATATATATATATATATATATATATATATATATATATATATATATATATATATATATATATATATATATATATATATATATAGGGATGTCAAATCGGTCAATTTTTAATACTCGGTTACTTGGACGTTTTTCCGATCGAGTACCCGG